AGCATCATCATCATCACCAGCATCATCATCATCAGCAGCATCGTCATCGTCATCGTCATCATCAGCATCATCATCTTCATCTTCAGCTACATCTGCATCTGCATCTTCATTAACTGGGTTAATCTTCATATTCGTCTTCAAATTCATCATTATGTTCATCTTTATCTTCATCGTCATCCTCAAGCTCATCATCATCATGACCACCATCACCACCATCTCCATTACCACCATCATAATCATTATCACCAGCATGATCAACAACGTCATCATATCATCTTCGACATACTCATGATCATAGCCATCATCATCGACATCATCATCATCAACAGCATCATCATCAGCAGCGGCATCATCATCAGCGGTATCATCATGATTCTTATCAGCATACTATTGGCCCACGATCACCCTCCTCCTCCTCCTCCTCCTCCTCCTCCTCATCATCATCATCATCACTGTTACCATCCGCATTATCATCACCATTTTCATTATTATCTAAGTGTCTACGGTAAGTCCCGCCACTGTGCTTGTGTTGTGGGTGATATGCCTCTTGGATGCTCGTTGGGATATCGTGGGGGGCCTCTTGGGGGCCTGTTGGATGCAGCTTGAAGTCTCTTGGGAGCCGCCTGGGGGTCTCTTTGGGGTCTCTTTTGGGTTTGTTGGGCTCGTCGTGGGGGCCTCTCAGGGCTTCTTGGAGGCCTCTTGGGGCCTGAAGGGGGTCTCTACGAGCGGAATGGTCGATTTGTTCGTTCGTGTCCCCACTCTTGGGCTCTCTTGGGGCCGTCTTGGAGCTTTCTTGGGCTGTCTTGGGCGCCGCTTGGGCCGTGTTGGGGCCCTCTTGGGCCGCCTTGGGACCCTCTTGGGGGCCTCTTGGGCCGTCTTGGCGCGGTCTAGGGGGGCCCTGGGGCCGTCTTTGAGCGTCGGAATTTCGAAAAGGCGACACCGTGAAGAAACATTGAAAACACAATGAGCATCAATGAGTTTCGCCTCTTTGGGCCCTCTTCGGTGTCCTCTTGGAGCGCTATTGGGGCTTCTTTTGGGGCCTCTTGGGCCGTCTTGGGGCCATCTGGGGCGTCTTGGAGCGGTCTTGAACTGTCTTGGAGGCCTCTTGGCGGCCTGGGTGGGCTTCCAGAGGACCACCCACGGGAAGATCAACATATAACCACGGCTAGGATTGACGTTGATGGTGTTCCAGTCTAGTGACTTCTTTACCAACCAGCTTTTGGAATTACAATTCGATTCACATTGCCCTTGGGCAAGGGAGAAACAATCTTCCCGACCCCGATAGTTGGTGTTTACAACGCGGCCCTGGGCATTTACTGAACAGCCCTGCCCTGTTCGATTTCTCATTTGGATGCGTTTTCTAAACGGCTTCGCTTGTCGGGTGCTTATCATGAAGGTGGATTTTCTGCTCTCTAATGGAACCCGCGGGGCAACCCAGTGAATAACCACGGGGCAACCCGCGGGACAATCCACTGGACAACCCACGGGGCAACCCACTGGACACCCTTGCGCCCCCCGCGAGACACAAGGTATAACTCTCTGCTGTTCGACTTGCCCCTAGCCTCGGCCGACACATCGTTGGCCTCGCACAGCACTGCCTCGCCCGCTCGGCACGAACCGAAACCGCTTTTACGGATGTGGTCAGATCCTTACGCTTCCGATAGGTCGATTCTGCGGAGAGGGCGAGGGAGAACGGGAGAGACAGAGGCGTGTATATATATACAGATATACATTTACATTTACACATATATATATAGCGAGAGAGAGAGAGAGAGAGAGAGTGGTCGGCCATGACCACTACCACCGCGACGACGATCAGGACCACCTCTATGAAGACGACCACGACTGCCACCACCACTGGACCAATCCCACGACCTTCGCGCCTCCCCTGTCGGCCTCGACCGTCCTCTTCCGCCCCCCCCCTCTGCCCTGCCCCCTCTGCCAGGGCGCACGGTCGTGTGCGAGCCGACGGCCGCCTCTCGCTACTCCGTCTCACGCTGCGGCGCTGCCTTGTTGTGGCGACATGCATCCAATGAGGTCGCGGCCGAAAAATATGCAAACAACAAATCTGCCCTGCCCCCTTCTGCCCGGCCGCCCTTGTATGCAGTCCGCCATCCTCCCTTCCCTTCCCTCCCCGGCAAGTCGCCGACCTCATCGGCCCTGAGAGCAGGCACCCATCCCTGGCCCGCCCTCGAGGTGCCCTCCGGGGGTGCCGGCCCTTTTTTCTCGGAGTCCTCCGGGGCCGCGTCGCAGAGAGGGATACATTTATACATATATATATATATATAGATATGTATGTATGTATATATATATATATATATCGAGAGAAAGAGAGGGTGAGAGAGACAGAGAGAGAGAGAGAGAGCGATCGCCCATATTCATCGTTTTTCTGTATATGTATGTGTCTCTCTCTCTCTCTCGCTCTTGCTCCTTTGGTTCGCTGTCAATCTCCCGGAGCTTTTCGGCTGCTCCATCGTGCCTCCGGCCTGAGTACCGGCAGGCCAAGAGGGTGCTTTTCTACGTTGGCGGCATCGCGCTTCTGACCTTGGCCGTTAATGCCACCACGTGCCCGATACTGGTGAAGTGGCTGAAGCTCAACAGGCATATTGATAGGAGCAGGGGAAGAGGGCGGGGGGAGGAAGGGACGGAGGAGGCGGAGGAGGAGAATATGGGGAACGGGCAGGAGGCGGGGGAGGATTATTACAAGGGGGAAGATGTGGATAATGCAAGAGGAGGAGGAGGAGGAGGAGGAGGAGGAGGAGGAGGAGGAGGAGGAGGAGGAGGAGGAGGAGGAGGAGGAGGAGAGGAGGAGGAGGAGGCGGAGGAGGAGGAGGAGGCGGAGGAGGAGGAGAGGAGGAGGAGGAGGCGGAGGAAGAGGAGGCGGAGGAGGAGGAGGAGGAGCAGGGAGGAGGAGGAGCAGGAGGAAACACAGGATGAGCCGAGGCGGCAGAGGCGGCAGAGGAGGAGGAGGAGGAGGCGGGGAGGAGGAGGAGGAGGAGGAGGAGGAGGAGGAGGAGTAGGAGGAAGGAGGAGGAGGAGGAGAGCCGCGCGGGGGGCCGCGCCCGCGTCGGCCGCGTCGGGCGCTCCCGTGGCGCGCTCGCTCCGGCGCCCTCCTCGGACATGCGGGAGCAGGAGGAGGAGGAGGATGAGGAGGAGAGGAGGAGGAGGAGGAGGAGGAGGAGGAGGAGGAGAGGAGGAAGGCTGAGAGGGCGGAGGAGGAGGACGAGGAGGAGGAGGAGGAGGAGCAGCAGGAGAAGGCTGAGAGGGCGGAGGAGGAGGAGGAGGAAGAGGAGGAGGAGGAGGAGGAGGAGGAGAGGAGGCGGGGGAGGAGGAGAGGAGGAGGAGGAGGAGGAGGAGGAGGAGGAGGGTTGACCAAGAAGGGCTTTGAGAGTTTAGCACGGCGCACCCTCGACGAGGGCGCGGCGGGGGAGCGCAGAACGTGAGCGCGGGCGTTCGACGAGAGGCCCCCGCGGCAGACGCGCACCAGCAAGCGAGCCCTACGGCCGGCCATCGACAGCAGGGGCCGGCCCCCCGCGGGGAGGCGCCCCCCCCGGAGGCCCCTGCGTCGAGCAGTGGAGGAGCGTCCTGACCTGCCTAGACCACCGAAGAATGTCCCAGGAACCCTGTGCCTCCCAGACCCAGACCCCCTTGCGTTGCGAACAAAATCACGACGGTAGGTTTTTACTATTCTCGGCCTCCGGGGGCCCTTGCACCGGGCCTCGGGGCCAGAAAACACCACTCAGGATGTAAAACCTCAGGGGGTCGACGCTGTGACAAAAAATCACAACGTCGGGGGTCTGGGTCCAGGTGGAGTCCGAGTAGATGGGGTCGAAGGATCGTGCCGCATCGCCGATGCATCAGCATCGGCAATGCGGGTCGATGTGGAGCCCGATTTGTTCCACGCCGACTGGCGTCGCCGATGCATCGTGCCGACGTTGCGCCATCCCCAGGCCCCATCTGCTTTGACCCTATTCAGGAGGCCTCTAATAGCTCTCCGTGGTTTGCAAGGCATGTTCTTAAACAAATATGGCTGAGGCAGTCTTGTGTTAAGACATCGGCTTCATGTTCTAAGAACATTTTTTGAGTGCAGAGCATTTTGCGGTTCCAGGGGCATGTCGTGGCAGGCCTACATGTGTGCCGGGGCGGTCGGTCCCCGCGCAAGTGCGGAGGCCTACGCCTCTCTGGGGACCTCCTGAGACCTCTTCCTCGGCCTCTCCAGAGGCCCCCCTTGGACCACCGCCAGGTTGCCAAGGGGTTAGGGGGTGTATCGGTGGATGTTAGGGTGGGTCTTATCTGATCGGACCTGGCTTGTAAGTGGGTTGCACATGCCGTAAGTGGCTGGCGGGGGTAACGATCCGGTCACTTGTAATCCACTTGTAGTAATATGGTCTTTGGTTTGGGCTATATGTAGCCCCTCCCGCGGTGATCCAAGCAGAATTCCGACGTCGCGTTTTTTTCGCAACGTTGACCTCCAGAGGTCTGGACTTCTCTTCCCAGGACCGATGTTTCACCCCGAGGTGCTCTTTGACGGTAATTACCAGCGCCTGGCAAGGGCTCCTGGAAGCCGTGCATGTACTCAAATACAGTCGGGGCCCTGAAGAAGGAACCCTTTTGGTTGGGGAGGGGCTCCGCGTTCCTTAAGTGTTTTGCAGCTTGCCCTAGGTTTTCCTTAGGTTTTCGATCGGAAATCGAAGGTTAACTTATGGAAAAAAAGGGGCCTCGTTCCTTATTTAGGGTTCCTTAGGTCAACGCCCCGACTGTACCAGCGCCTGGCAAGGGCTCCTGGAAGCCGTGCATGTACTCCAATATTCCCCCTCTCTTTTCCTCTTTCCCGCGTTGTCGTCTCTACGCTCTGGGGTCGTCGCTGCTTCCCCCTCGGCCTCGTCTCCTCGCCTCCCTCCTTCCCTCGTCGTCCTACCGGGCTGCTCCGAAAGCTGGAGGGAAGTGGCCACAAATAAACAGCTACTCTGTCGCGATTCCGGCGGTTGCCTCAAAGCTTGCGTCGCGGTTGTGCCACAAAATGATGCCTCGAAGCCTCCGTCGTGGTCGCTGCACAGCGAGAGGATCGGGCGGCCAGAGGCCCCCGGAGAGCTCTGGACTCTGGAGGCCTGCACGGCGCCTCTGGGGAGGCCGAGGGCGAGGGGAGTGGAGAGAGGTTGAAGTAGTATCAAATGCGCGGGTTCACTCACCACCCACCAAACCACCCCAACCCAACCCGAAGGCCCAAATTTATCCTCGATTTCCACTGGGGGGGGGTCGGGGAACGTTGAAAAAACACATGGTATCCGTACCCCCCCCAACCCGAAATTCGGGTCAAATTTGGGTCTTCGGGTTGGGTTGGGGTGGTCTGGTAGGTAGTCAGGTATACCTCCGTTGGTGGTGGCGGGCGTATGGTGCCCACCTTTGGTTCTAGAAGGGCCTATGGTGCCCCTCAGTGCCCACCCCGTCCCGTCCACAGGGACTTCGCAGCCCCCCCGATGGTGGGGAGGTGGGTGGACGGGCCGCCCCCCCTGGCGTCGCACGTGCTGCGCCAGGGGTGGTGGGATTTCCATTGAAGGCAATGAGCTCCATGAAGTCCCTCTCGCCCGTCCCTCCCACCCACACCCGGTCGCCGTTGGAAGCCCTATGGTGGCCTCCGGTGCGGTCGAGTGGCATCGCCCTATGGTGGCTGATGCACCAGGCCCCCCTGCCGAGCCCTATGGCGGCTCTGGCCGGGGGGAAGGCGCAAAGGAGCGAGGCGGCCCACAGGCGGGGAGTCACGCTGCAGCCCGGTCGTCGCAAGGGCACCTGCGGCCGGGCAGCCACCCAGCGTGGCGGGGAAGGTTGGCCTCCCCAGCGGGGAGAGCGAGCTCTCATGCCACGTTGAGAGCAAGGTTCCTCTCTCGACTTTAACCCTTAAGCTCTTCCCTGTCTTCTCGCAGAAACGGAGTTCTTATTCAATGAATCCTCACACGGGGAATCGTGACAGGAATCCTTGCTGAGGAGTCCTTGCTAAGGAATATATTGAAGTTCCTGCCGTGAAGAAATCATGGAGGGAGGTTTTCGTCAGTTTTCGGCATCTCGAGGCCATCACCAGCCGCGGGACCGTCAGAAAGCGACTTCAGGGTTCAGAGCCGGTCCTGGGGAAAGGGTCCGGATATCCTGGGGTCCCGTATTGAAATGATCAAGACATCGGATGTCCGGGAACAGCGCAGGTTGGAGAAAGGAGGAGCGATACCACCACCAGAGGGAGGCTACTTCAACCGAGGAGGTCCACGATACCTCCCCGAGCTGGAGACCACACTACAAGGAGTCCCCCCCTGGCTGGCTCCTCACGCTGGTGGTGGTGGTGGCTCCGGTTTTCTTTATCTCCTGACAGACGTTACACAGTGGGAGGAGCGGCAGATGCATTGGAAGCCGCGGAGTAGAACGCGAGCATCCCGACGACAAGTGAGACCTCCGAATCGGTGGTCTGATATCGTGACCTGTGTGTGATTTCGTGTCCTTGGCATTGTTTGCAAGTGTCAAGCGACGCGCGTGCACTCTCGCGACAGATTTTCCATGCTTTTCGGCCTGCACGTGCGCCCGCTCGCCATCAAGGCGCTGCAGCCTTCGGAGCTGGTCGGCAGATCGGTGAGTTGTTTGTTTTTGCACAGTGCTCCTCCGTTTGCGACGACCGACGACGACGACCACCGACATGACGATCGGCGACGTCGACGACCGACGACGACGACGACGACGACGACGGAGACGACGACGACGGCGACGACGACGACGACGACGACGACTGATGACGACGTTCGACGACGACGACCGCGAAGATGACGACGATGACGACGATCGATGACAACGACGACGACGACAGACGGCGATGGCGACGACCGATGGCGACGACCAATGATGACGATGACTGATCAAGACGGCGCCGACCGACGAAGACGACCAACAGCGACCACGACGACCGACGGCGACCGACGACGATGACGACGGCGACGACGACGACGACGGCGACGCCGGCGACGGCGACGGCGACTACGATGATGGCGACGGCGACGGCAACGGGGACGGCCACGACGACGACGACGACAACAGCGACGGCGACGACGACGGCGACGGCGACGGCGACGGCCACGACGACGACGACGACGACGGCAACGGCGACGACGATGGCAACGACGACGGCGACGGCGACGGCGACGGCGACTGCGACGGCGACGGTGTCGGTGACGACGACAACTACGACGACGACGACGACGACGGCGACGACGACGGCGACGACCACGTCGACGACGACGACGACTTCGACGACGGACGACGACGACGACGACGACGGTGACGACGACGACCGACGACCGACGGCGACGACCGACGACTGACGACCGACGACCGATGACCGACGGCGGCGCCTTTCGGCGGGCATTCGACTCCCCGCAGGCCCTCGGGGACCAAGCGGCTGGTCCGGCTGAACTTGCCACGGCCTCGGCCCCCCCGTCCGGCCGCCCTCGGCCCTTGAAGGAGATT